GTCACCTAATAGGTGCCATTCCAACCTCTCTTTAAACCATACAGTTTTAACGTGCTAGTGACTTTAGGTAATATACACATAACAGAGCTAAAAACAACTACAAATACACAGCACATTCAACCATTGCATTTTAAAAGGGGAAATGTATCATGTAATTGGGTGAAATTACGGAAATCTCGTTCAGTTATGAAATTTGTAGTTTTAATGAGGAACCAGCAGCAGTTTTTCAGAAATCATACTTTTGTTAAATTCTGCTGGAAACCTTAAGAGCAAATCACCACGAGCCAATTGCAAATAGCCAGCATCCAAAATTATCCTAGCATTGTGGGATTTATTTCCAGCCTTTTTAAACGGAAAGAATATTAACATTTCTGTAATGCAAAACTGCCTAAAAGACATGCAAATTTATTCGCACTGTAAAATATTTAGATATATATGTATGTTATCCATGTTCTGTGATTTTGGGCTTGAAAGGTTACCACAACACAAAAGGCTTCTGTTATATATAGATGCACAATAACTTGAGTAGATTGATGCTTCACTAGATACACATGAATGAATGCCATGAGAAAGGGTCTTGGAAAAGAATTCAGCAGTGAGCAGCAGTGAAAGTTAGAAGAAAGATAAAGTAAAAGGGGAACGGACACTGCCTTTACTTTTGCAGACAGTTTGGGGCAAACACTCGTATATTAGTTAATGAATGTGCATTTTGTAATTTGGGCAAAATGCCTTTACTGCCAAATTAAAGAAGGAGAGGCCACTTTAATAAAATAAAAGAAGCTATTCACTATGCTACAGTATAACAACATGTATTATATGGTGCCCATAAGCATGGCTTCCATAATAACTTTTCACATATACACACACTCCCACTATATTTAAGAACATTTCTCCAAATACAGAGGTTATTTATATATTAAAACTATTTTTTTTTCATTTTTCACAATGTGGAGCGTAAAGTCTATTTAAAAATATTTAAAAATCCAAATTTGGGGCATATTAAAAATATTCCTACCTAATTTTTCCCTAATTTGAGTTTGTAGAAGACAACTGAATTTTATGACATTTCAGTTCTCTCTGATACTAAGAAAAATATCAAATCAATCAAAATTCTTTATTTGGAGTAATTGCTAGATAATTGATTGGCTTCAGCTTGTCAGGCTATCTTTGGAAGTGCTTTCTGCACAATAATTGAAAGTTTATTTATTGATGCATACTAAATACCACTGCATTTAACAAAGGCTGTTAAAGGCAGAATTAGGTTTTGATTAGATAAGTTGAAGAAAACAGGACTGTTCTCATCCCATGAAACATGAGCATTTATTGTAGTGCACTGCAATCATTAGTGTTATTTAGAAACATAAGTGAATAGTTAACCATAAATATTTACTTTATATTAGTATGCACTGAAGAAATATGTATTTATGTGAAGTTCACTAGGCTGGCCTGGACCTTAGGGGCACAAAGAGCTTTTTCCTCAATTTGACATTAATTTGAATTAGCATAAAAAACTTTGTTGCTTAACTCCTTTTGTGAAGAGTGATCACAAGGGTCAAATTTATGAGTCAGAATAAAAAATGCAATTTGCACTTTTTCTGGTGAGCAAACGTGTTCTTTTTGTTCTCGTAGCTCCTCAGTGTTTGTGGGAGCATTATTTATTCTGTTCTCTTTTGTTTGACAGAGCTTTTTTGGTGTTGTCTTTTAGGCATGCTAAATGCATAAGGCAACAATTCGATTCTTTAAATACATACTGCTATTTAACAGAAAATTGCTTTTTAGATAATTTAACATGCTATATATAAGAGGCAGGTACCGTACTAAAAATCCTAAGCATTTTTTTTTTGTTCTGACAGAATTATTTTGCATTTCTCCTCCATAATTCTAAGCAGTTGGATATGTTTGGACTACATTTAGAATAATTATCATGGCCAACAATTTTATTATACAATTCCCTTTTTACTCAATGTTCAATCATTTTTTTTCCTTCTGCTTTTACGTATTTAATCTGAAAATGCAAAACTTATTAAATAAGACTTTCAGAGTGTTATACACTTAATTCCATAAAGCAGAAGTATACTTGCAATTTCAGCTTTACAGATAAAAACTATATGCAAATAATGCTAGCGTTGTGACAAAATTAACTGAGTATAAGGAAACTGACAATTTAAAGCCTAGCAGTGTTTTAACACATCCAAGTTCTTCCTAGGCATCACAGATGCACATATGGGGCCTAATCCTTCAAGATACTGAGTGTCTGCTGTGAGGTGCAGAGTGTCCTCAATTCACATTGACTTCAATGTGAGTTGAAAGAGCTCAGCATCTCACAGGGTTGGACCCAGTAAAAAGAGATAAATGCAAAGCAGCAGCCCTCCTTTGAACTTTAATTGACTGGTTTATGTTACAACCTCTCTCTTGATTCAATATGAGATTTCTATTAGAAACTTTAGCAAGCATATTATATCGGGGGCGGGGGGAGAAGAAATAGTGTATGATTCAGCATATCCCAACAATTCTAATGGGTTACAACTCTTTCAGACTAATGTGTTCACCCAACAATCTTCCCACATATAGGATAGCAGGCAGAAAAAATAACTTTTGCTTATTAATTTACTAGGAAAGTTCAACAGAGGAGATGAACACTAATTAGTTAAAGGAGTATGACTTTATGTAAATATTATGCATTCTCCAAGAATGGCAGGGATTGCGGTGATGACAGGGGATGGGCTTGTCTTGAACCTTCAAAATAACACGGGACCAAAAATATACATTAACTAGTTATTTTAAATAGGGGGAGGGAGGAACCCCCTTCATTTCATAGGATTCTGAACAGACACAAGGCTCCACCCATGCCGATCAGAGTGCAAAGCCAGGGCCCAGCTCTGGAGACTTTGTTTGGCAAGTGAGAGCTCAGGGTTAACTTTTACACATGATGTAAA